CAGACTACCGTGGATAAAGTAATCAGTTATCCAGAAAATGAGCGAAAAAAACGCGAATACGGTTCTTACGAAGTAGTTCAAGACGCCCTTTTGACAGAATTATTAAACCAACGTTTTGCCCGTTATTTGGACATCAAAAGGAAACAAGGAAAGAATCGAACAATACCGAAATCATAACTGCTACAGGAAGTTAACAAGGTTTGCTTAACCAGGACTGGTAATATTTCACATTTGCTCCAATGCATTGTGCATATTTGCTATAAGTACAAACGAAATTCAAGGTAAATGTGATTATCAGGTGACCTCCTGTTTCCAGCTAAGGGGGTGAAGCGAGAACCTACAATGCGCTCTAGAAGGCCAGCAAAGCACCAGAAGGCGTCCTCCTCACTGTCCATGACTGTTAAGATGACTGCCAATAGATCATTCATTCCTTGAAAATAACCTACAAAGCAAATAACCGCTGAATGGCTCACGTTTAACTGCCCTACAGCCGTAAAATGTCTACAAATTGCCTGGCCGACGAAATTTAAATGCATCAGGGAACGCAAATGTGCTGCTTAGACAATTTCACCTACACGAATCTATTTACTTGTCAAATTCACAAGCCCAGTGGCATAAATTCGGTAGTGCTACCGTGACAAGCATAAGGATCGCCATTACGAGCGATAGTTAATAGTCCTGCTATATTCGATGAATAGACCTGACTAGAAGTAACCATGAGTAACTAGAAGTAAATACGAGTATTCACCATAATACACATGGATGTAAAGGCAATAATTGTGAGATGAGGCACGATCAACAATACAGACGAGGCTTGGAGAGGCTTCACACCTACAGAGTTGCAATTTCCTTGTGAGAAAGTATAAAGTCAGATTTACTGTGGAAGGTCAACAGCGTAGGTGGGATGCGCCAATGGTCAACAAAACGTGGGTTGAGTTGTTAGAAGGGCACGCTTGACGTCTTCACTAACACCACTCCGAATGCAAGCGATTCCGGTGTCTTTTAAGCTGACTCACATTCACCTCTGGGACATGTCTGAATAACTATTCAATCGGCCACAGATAACTAATCTCGGTGCATGCAATTGATGGTCACAGTAAAAAAACTCACTACAACCACCACGACATTATAACCATTAAAATTCTATGATTTGCGAAATACCAACTCTCTGATCATGGATGCAGTCAATAATGTGGGCAACGAAATTGAACGAAATAAAAACAACATTTTTTTAATGGAATTTGTGAAAGATTTCCAGATTCGAATGATCGATTTATTATTTGTGCACTTACCTAGGTCAAGGTTGTAGAATGTGTAAGTCATGAGTATGTTATAGAGGCGAGTTAGAGCACCAGATGAATTGTCCTTAAAGAATGCGGTTTGTCTATCCGTTCTATAAGTGTCTTTTTCTGAAGACCAAAAGTAAAACAGTAGTTGCACAATATGACACTGCAATGCATTCTAAATCATACTTAACAAATAAAAGAAGGTTTGGTAACATACAATCGCAGATTGAATCAATTTTCCACGTTATATATCTCAAAATAAGTGTTTGGAGGGACTTTAACAAAATTCGACGCGACACTGAACAGGAGTATTGTGACATTTTTTGCTGATAGAATTGTAACTCGACTATAACCAAGCATCGAAACTTTGCTCAAATCAAATCTACCAAATGAATAAAGTAGACCATGGGAATCCAAAATTGTTGCGGGAATCGCAGATGTGAATTTTGGGGACGTTACACAATTTGCTTTTTGGAAATTAGACGGAGAAAGTTAATTATGTGCATTTTTATTTGAAGGGCATCGGAGAACAGTGGTTTTGTAATTAAAAAAAGCTTGAAGTATTCCTAAAACTATTCGAAGGGGGAAAATCGCGCTGTCACATAAGGACAAGTGCTCAGTTATTCGTTCAAGGTATAACGAACCTATGATGCTTTTGCGTTCCCGGAAGACCCGAAAATTCTTCATTTGCTTGAGGGACATAGATTTCCAAAATGCCTTCATGATGTGGTAGTGGCGACTGAAAAACATATTAACAGGTTTCGGAGATGAAAAAGATCACGTGATAAATCTGCAGTTAGGAAGAGCTGCCACACTTTGAGGTGGCGCTATTTGTTATACTGATCAAGTGTAGTTTTGGGTATAACCATCAAAAAAGCGTGACAATGAGATTTTCAGTTCAAAAGCTACACGGTATCGGCATCTACAACTTTGCGACCATTGTAAAACACCCTGTAGATTCCCTTAGTGTTAGACCCTGGAGGTTTTGGGTGAACAACTTTTAAACCAGTTGCTCTACAAAATTAGCATTTTGCAAATATTTCATTTACGATTTCATTAAGCGCCAAGAAGAGATAACAATGGGTTCGTGTTGAATCCAGCAAACCTGTTGGATGAGGCGAACGTCTACTCACTTCACCATAAAGTTTTCTCTGTGGACATGAGATGCCTCAATATCTATTCATACACGGGCTCATGAGAATTTGTTGTAACGCGCCCACTATTTAACTTGATAGAATAGCGTTACGTGACTTATGAGTTTAGCGTGGGCGTAAAGGGCAACAAATTAGCCGGCGATGAAAGTGCGACACAGGCATAAGTTACTAAATTCTGATTTAGTGCTAACGCAAGCAAGCAGCCAGAGGGCCCACAGAGCTCAAATGAGCCTTGTTCTGTAGTAAGAATTGAAATGAGCAACCACCTCATTATTTCCCCAAACACGTGACCAAGCCCGCAGTGAATGTACAGTACGTGTCGTTGTACATATGTGGGGAGCAATCTAAATCCTAGTTATCGTGCAAAGAACAAAGCGTGATTACCAGATTTCTCTACTAATAACGACATGTCCGCACTTTAAACACAATTTTTTTTAACTAAAAAGCCCCTTAAAATGCAGAAAAAAATCGAGATATTAAATCAATTTAGTCTGGTTGAAATTTAGGTGGGTAAATTACGGTAAAATACAGTCTGCTTGAGGCGGTGGTCATTTGAGGCCGAAATCTATTTACAATGGAAGAAGTACAAAAGGCGCACAACCTAAAAACGCCTCTGAGAACGAACACCGCCAAATCGTGAAAGCAGGCGAAAGGGTCAATGCGGCAGATGGCAAATGACAAACAGACAATAAAATGGGGCAGCGTGTGACGTGGAATAGGAGAACAAAGCAACATACTGTTTTTCTTCAATTCTATTCGCGTTTTCTTCTGCTGTGAAATCCCATTTTAAGTAGCCAAAGAGGTACTTCCATGCAACAGGTCTTAGGCTAGGGTCAATTCCCTATAAGAAATAACATGTTAACGTACAGACAAGAAAATTATGTACCGCGAACACAGGTACACATATAAGTAGGCAGACCAGTTTTGGTAGCAATTACACCTGGGCCACCTTGATCACGGTGACCATTCATTTCATTTCACCGTTTCACCACTACCTGACATTTTCAATACTCTTTTACTTTGCTCGTTACCAAGTAATAAAAGCGATTTCAGGAATTTTTTTCAATTGGGAAAAAGTGACTCTGTACCAAGTCACCCAATGTGTAAAGATAGGACTAATCACTAAAACCGTGACAATAAACTTGAATAGGCATTTGGTAAAAACACATAAGAAATAGCCCTTTAAGTGAAGCCCTTGCTATAAAATTTGGAGGAAGATTTGACATGCAATGAATCTACAACAGATTTGTAGCAACGCAAAAGTTCAGAAATCGCTCAAAAAGCAAATAGGCTGGACTACTTAGCGAATCCACACTTGACCAAATAAAGTCCAAAACGAATGAAATGGTAACCGAAGCAATTCACTTTACTGCGTTTTGTACGGCGAATAAGAAAAACCTTAGCTTTTGAGAAAAATCTAAAGTTTAAAGGTTTGTTGAGGAATGGACCATTTAGGAAATCAAGACGCTGAAAAATAGGTGAATGAGAATATCTGGCGTAATAAAGTTAAAACGTATGCCGCAAATATCTAGAGAATAAACTGCTCACGAAACCAAATAGATGAAGGAAAGAGGAGGTGTGAAAGAGGGCCCGCACACCTGTGAAGCAAGTAGCTTCTGACGCCTAGAGATCAATACATACATGCAGCGATCATCAGTGGATATAGTGAATGCACATGAAAGGACACATAGGAAACATCAGTGGAAATAAATTTGTAACCACCACGCATGTGTTCATTTGCTGTCACTAATGAACACACCGGCTGGCAAGCATTGCGGAGGACAGGTACAGTCAACGATTAAAACTCCAAACACCGAAATAACGTCTTAGTGAACTCAAATTTATAGGACTTTATACTATAGAAGTAACGAGCACTTTCAAGAATCGATAACTTGAAAGTGCTAAGTTGAACTTCCGCATTAGCAAAAAGAACTGAGCCCTGAATGCCAGTGCCCGAAAAACAGACCGGATTTTTTCTTGCGCGTGTGCATCAACAAAAGAATAAGACTCACGCCATAGTAGATGGAGGCCTGTAGCTTGTCCACCACGGTGACACGGCCGTCACGGTCTAAGTGACGCTGCCATTCCTCCATAGTAAGAGGAGGCTTTCTTCGTACAGGAATTAGGTCGGGGATGGCAATTGACAGGGGCTTGATGAACGAGAAACCCAGTAAGAGCCCTGACCTTAAAAGCATGCTAGCGGTACGAGTGAACATGTGTGGTGATTCCGATAAAACGACAAAACCAGTAGTAATTGAACTTGCTCCTTGATGACAAACATTTGACACCCCATATTGGCATATGTAAATTTTGACACAAATTGATACACTTAGGAAAATCTATGCTTGGAAATAAGGACGCATAAAGGAACCAAAAAGGCAGTTTAAAGTCATCGATTGAGAACGTTTAGTACGATCCAAAGTTTGAGTACATTTCACTCAAAACGGTTTTGGTAGAACGAGGCTCCTTAATACTTCGAACTAAAAAGTTACTTTTTGTAAAGAAGTAGTTGCTGACATCTTATAGGTATAAGAAAAAACAGTTGCATCCGTTGGTTTTGGCGTTCTACAAGTTAGGTTTGCTTTGTTTCCGAAAAAGGTCACTCACAATTGGAGTGTGAGAGATAATTTGGTAATCGGCATCGTCGGGAGCCGTTGTCGATGTGAGAGAATCAATAAGGTGAAGCCTATCAGCATAAATTTTGTCCATCATCGTCTTTTGCGCGGCAAGATCGGGATCGAGGAAACCGTCGGCCCCAGGTGAATGACGGCATCGATCATCGGCTCGAAAGGCAGCGCTTGGTGTGAAACCGCCCGTCCCACTCAGAGCCGAGTCGGCACCAAGCCGGAGGCTATCGAAAACGTTCAGCAGCTTCGTGCCCACACCCTGGATCATGTTCATTGGAGAACTAGAGTAGCTGAAAGATCCGGATTTGGAACAAAGTTGTAGATGGTTTACTTGACACGCATTTAGTAGATCAACAAACCCGACATTAGAATGGAGCTCAGCAATGTACCACGAAAAGTTGGGGTTTAAATCAAAGGCCATGTGTATTGTGGTTTGCATCTGGAACACGAATTGTGGCAAAGAGCAACATATGCTAGCACTCCAACGACCTCGTCGACGAACTTCTCTAGCTTCTATACGACAAGCTATGGGGTGAAAATATGAGCTATGTTTAATTACCTACTAATCAACAATACAGACAGAAGCAACTAATGAAACAGTGACTCAGTCGTAAGGGTGAAATGATACATGAATCGCATTCAAACGTGTAAGCAATGCGACCCTATGTTATCGGTGCAAGCCCTCGTTAAAATGGATTAGACGTCGTAATGAGGGATCATGACCAGTCCGTGAAAAAACAAATATGAGGAAAGACATGCGAATGTCAACGTGGGTTACTTAACAAGAAAATTTACAAAGACAACGCAACATGCTGGGCCTTTCACGCTAAAATACGAGTCTATCGATGAATAGGGAGCAAGATGTAAATTAAAAATGGCCAAAAATGTGAAAACGTACACTGATGTGGGTAACTGATAAGTATTTGTTTTGTGAATAACCTTGTACACACCAGGATTTGATGATAATCTGTAATACAAAAAATAAATGGCTCAATAGTCGATATTCAGGAATGTTAGCAGCAAACAATTCAGCCATAGCGACACAGATAGCCTAGACATTAATCGATTATACGAACTTGAAAATGTAGAACATATGACCTGAAATCATACACGATAGAAATTGAGTTAAATTAGAGCAACAGGGGGTTCATTCGATTCTTCACAAATTAATAAACGTGAAAGTGATACAGGACGGAGAGAACAAAGATTTACTATCTATCAAAAAAACAACTACAGAACCTGTAGGTAATGAAATAAAGACTTCCAAACTGACTCACTCTTGAAGATCAATGTATTTTCGAAGTTTTTCGATAAAATCACGTGAACCACCTTTGGCAAACTCAAAGGGGCCGTAGGCATCACCTGGACGCGTTCGGATGAAGATACAGGTGTAACGACTAATGGCCAAGCGCCGGCGCTCAACCTGGTAGATGTTTGACAGGGGAATTTTTGGCGAAGTATAGTCGCCAGACACAAGTCCGCTGTCTGCGATCCACTGAATCATCGTACCTTCTGAATTCTAAAAAAATACATAAAGCCAAAACGATGTGGTCTTACATGGGTCAGAAGGAATAGAGTCCCACTAAGCGTCTCGCTATGAGCTGTAAAGTTAACGGAGTACCATTTGTGGCAGGCTTCTTCATACGAGGCCTATAAGTGGAATGGAAAAATTTAGGGTCACGTTTTCATGCAGAAATACTATTCCTGATCTCATGAGATTTACATTTTTGAAACAAGAGGAAGTACAGTACGGCTATTACCTACTAGAGCCTACAAAATCTATTACCTGCCATGATTCCTGATGCTACAATTAATGAAAACCACAAAACACCACAACCAAAGAAGGCAGTAGTAAATGCGGTGTACGTGCCTTCGAATCAACGTCGAATATTACTACATATGGTAGATTACATGCATTGGATTCGTGAACAGCATACTAACGGGAGTAAAAAAGCTTGTTTAACAAAAAGTTGGATTCTTGGGGTTTCCAAGTCAATGAAGGCATTGGTTATGTCAGAAGTGCGGAATTAGAGCATCAGTAAGTAGAGGAAAAAAGTCACAAACAGAATATGATCATAGTAACTGAAAGTAATCCTGATTAAAACTAGATGCCCATTCAAGGTGTAAAAAATGATATCCCAGTGAGCATTTATAATGAGTTCATTATTGGTCAAAAATCTGAACTCAGCACCCTAATGAAAAAGAAGCCCTTTTCGAGAGATTCACACATTTCTGCATATTAGTAATTATAAAGTACCAAGTTTCGATTACATATTAGAACTGAAAGCGGTGTCCTTAAGGAGGTTAGTCATTTAATAACTTCATAACCAAAAGGAGGAATGGAGACATAATGAGCATGTTCAGAGAGATTACGAAAAAAGCCACCCTAAACATATTTTGTTTTGTGGCTATTTTAGGAGGGTACAGATACATGCTGATTCGACCAATAAATGAAAGTGAAATGATGAGAGTTCATTCTGGCAATACAGCGCAACTACATTTGATTAGTTCAAAATTTAAAAAAACTGCAAAAAGGTTTATTTTAATGGGTTTTTATAATCCCCAAAACTATACGCATAAATTAAGAAACCAGCACTAAATATATGAAATGCGCACCATCCAAACAAATAACAGCAGAGACACACTTAAATGAAAGCTAAAAATTCGCGGCACGTATAGGTAAAATTAAACAATTTCACTAATGTTCAGTTAGGGCATTGCGACCTGTTCCTACTTGCTGTAAACTATGTGAAAAATTAAGTTTACATGTACCAAAGTTTTAAATTTATCATACAATTTTAATTTTATCAATGTTGATTTGGTTGGTGTAAACACAACACAACTACAAATGCAGCCTATATCCTCTAAAGTAAAAATATTCAGCACATTCGTTAACAACGTCACCGTAACTTACCTTCCATTTAAATTTATATACTTCTGTTGGAGTTAACAAAATTGCCTTTTAGTACTTCCTTCCGATGTTAACATATACATGGATATTATCGAAATCATTTTGTCGTGGACTGCACTACTTTTATCGTCTCTGCAGTGAAATATGCCTTATTAGAATTCTAATCTTGACATTAAAACATTTACACCCGCTAAAAGTGATTATAATGCAAAAAATATGCATATTTAATTTCTGTCATGGTTTCTTGTGCTTTAATTTTGTTACTTCCAATCAATTCGCACAGGCGTTCTAGTCCTTAAAATTATTTGGATGTAGATAACTTCTTTACTCTGTCAATGCATATGATGTTTTTTTGGTGATCTTAATTAATTCAAAGTGACAAATCCATCAGCCATAATTTTCAAAGAAACCTCTAGTCAATTTGTGTTTGCAATCCGTCCATTGTAATACACTGCTGGTACAATGTATCATGCAGTTAATTAAGTTCGACTGCGCTCTTAGCTAACAAAAGCTGCAGGTCAACCCTCGAGTCCACTATTCAGTTCTAATAATATTGTAGTGTATGAGGGGCAGACCCCTGGCAACCTATCCCTTCAGTAAAGACGGGCTAGGGCCCCCTACTGAGTAATTTTGGAAATCCTCTTTGGCCAAAAATAAAATGAAAAGCGCTGTTTATTTTTTCAATTTGAATGAAAATACTTTGTGTTTTATTTTTGTTTTTCACATTACTAAGTTGATTAGTGACCAAATTGTTGTTATTTACCTATTTTTGTGCTCTAAGTGGTAAGTTTCGCAAAGTTAAAGATAAAATATGGGGTACTATGCAGGCATTTCAGCATCACGTTGAAAAAGAACCAGTAGTATGGTATGCGACATTCTGATTAATATTTTTTGTGTGAGTGGCTTATGGATCTGCCTTCTAGTAAAGTAAGTTTTGTAGGATATATCAAAATAGTCTGAAGATTTTGGACCAATGTGATTGTGTATTTTTGTCGACTACTTGAGTTTGTTGAATAAAATCGAATCAAGTTTTCTTTCACAAACCAGACTTTGAATTAATGTAGTTAGTCGATTTTTTAAAATTAAATCAATTTGGGTCTGATTTCATTGGTCAAGTCTGTTTGCCATCCTTTTGGTGTTTGAGTTCATGCGTTCGAAATATGGCTCTTAGGAGTAGAAAACGTCAGCGCGTCTTGCCGGTCTCTGATGTCTCTAAGCGACGAAAGGGTAGGTTTCTTTGCTGCTGCACTCTAGATTTTCCCAATACTCGAACTTGCTTGGTTTTTATCCACGTGGTTTTCCACAGTTGTATTTAATTTCCAAGTCATATTCAAGATATCACAATTTCCTCTCCGTTTAGATCTATGCATTTTTATTTGACGCATTTATATGTCTCATCGCTTGGAATACACAAGTGGTTATAACTGTTTTGAAATCAGGCAGACCTTTATGAAATGCGCATTTTTCCGTAAAATCTTCACTTTTAGTTGACAACTTCTATGGACTAACACGTCATGTTTGCAATCCGTTTTCCTATGATTAAGTAATTTCAAGGGATTTTCGACATCTGGTCAAACTACCTATTTAATCGTTTTGTGCTTTTTAGCACTTTTTGTTTCTCGTGCAATCGAGGCCAGCTTTGGACACCTGTCCTTCTGGAATCGAACAAGGTGCATTAAAGCGTCAGATATATTCTTAAAGCTCTAGACGTGCCTTGCTCTTTTCTCCTTAGTGCAGATTCGAGTTGGTTCTGGAAGTTTTACGACCGAAGAACATTTTCTGTCTACACAAATGTCACTTGCAAAGATGGCTAAATTAGAATCGACGTGTACCATGATTCTAAGCGATTTGAGTGCTTCATATCTGTCAATAGTATATTGTGTGTTGTTAGTATTTGGCCTGAGACCCACACTCGTTTTGTTGACTTACGACATTGGTTATCGCAGCGCCTGTAGCGAAGTTTCTACTTAGTTCATGTATTGTATAAACCACTATATTGTTTTGTATTTATGCAAAATAAGCACTAGCGAAATACGACTTATTCGAAAGTTACTTGATTGTGTCCATTCCACATTTAGTTGATACTTTTGCGGATGTTGGCACAGCCGAGCTGGCGACTCGCCACACGGGTCGATTCGCTTCTTCAGGAACTGTGCTTACACTTGGCACCGGCGATACTGGCCAATTGGGCCTCGGCCCCGATATCACGGAGCGCATGAAACCAGCTCTCATGCCACCGGCTAGCCTTTCCAGCGCCGGTCTAGATCAAGATTCTGCAGAGGATTTTATTCAGGTTGTAGCCGGCGGCATGCATACCGTCTGCCTCACCTCGGATGGGCGGGTCTTCACTTTCGGTTGCAATGATGAAGGTGCTCTCGGTCGCCCCTCCGGAGACTCATCTTCGGACAATGATGATGGCAAACCTAAGACTGAGTCTGTTGAGGAATCAAGACCCGGTGTCGTTAACTTCCCCGAGAATTGCGTAAAAATCAAAATGGTATGTGAGTCGTTATTTCTTCACCTTTTGTCTTTATTACACCCACCGCATATAACCATGAGATCGGATTAGGAAGTTCTTCTTTGTTCTAAATTATTTAGCCAGACCTCAGTAATGACTGACTAGATCTTTTATGTTTTGGGGCAACGTTTTGAATATCAGCGTGTTTTGGCTCGCTAATTAAGGTGTACATTTATAATTCTTTAGGTTTCTGCGGGTGACAGTCATAGTGCAGCGCTCGATAATCAGGGGCGTGTGTGGTTGTGGGGAACTTTCCGTGGGGCCAGCGGGGCAATCGGACTTACCAAGGCTGGTGAGATATGCTGTTCTCCTGTCCATCTCGCTAGCCTCACTGCTGTAGTTGTGAAAATTACCTCGGGACAGGATCATCTCGTCTGCCTCACAGACGATGGTCGTCTTTTCACCATTGGCTGTGGAGAACAGGGACAGTTGGGACGAATTGCCGAAAGGTTTGCAAAGGATGGCGGTCGCAGTGGTATTGGTAAGTTAGCCTTTTTTCTGCAACTATGAATTGATATAGAGTTATTGTGGTTTTGAGGCCATTATAGCTGTGGTTCCGTAAAACTGTGAAAACAAAGTTCGTAGTCTTTACCCGGAAGTCGTTTATGGAAAAAGATGGTTTTGTCGATAAGTGAATTGCCGCATGTAAGCGTTAAACGTACAATTAGACTACAGTTCGCCTATTATAAAATCATTTTATTAACTTTCTGTTCTCACTAATGACAACCCCAAATTTTGACACGTAGCGACATCAAGCTTCACAACCCCAGTCTCTTCACGTCTGTCATTACTCTGACAATTGGTAGCTGAAGATAAGTACATTTTAAATACATTTCCTTTCTCAATATAGTTTCTTGGTAATTCAGGCTTAAAATTAATGGAGCTCGGGGCGTAGTGCCCTTTCTTTAGGAGTGGGTTATACTATCATTGTTCAACATTCGCCATTTATGTGGACCGTGCTATTCTTACTGGAACAAGATTGACTTATCCTTGCGATGTCTTGGCAATGGGGTTTTGATGCTATTCTGGGCAACTTAGTGCGGTCATTTGCGTTGGTCTTCGGATTCTTTACTGAGAATTGGGGTGGCATGATCGTGGAAAAGCCTCTGTATACTTGTCTCTCGGCAGAGCTGCAGCATTTCCAGTGTTCGTCTCCTACTTTCCCAATTTGATAGACTTCAACCTGTTCTGTTAGAGTGCTCTATTTGAACATCTTATTGACTCTATTCAAGCGGTTCTCCTTCATCAATCAATTTATTAACTTGACCCTCTTGAACGTAGATCTTCATGACTAATAGTCAACAGTCGTATTAACCAAAATGTAGTTCATTTTTCTTGACCCAAAATATCTCATAGATGACAGTCTGCCAATGACGCACGTGGACCAAGTAGTTAAACTCTTCTTGACTGTGTTTATTGTAATTTGCGGTTGGCCTTATATTTAGATTTTTTACTACAACCTGGTGAATGCCGACTTCGTGGTTCGAAGCGTTTCGTTGATGTTTGGGCCGGTGGTTTTGCAACAATAGCTCGTATGACTTCTGGTGTTATATACGCTTGTGGCCTCAATAACTACGGCCAACTTGCTCTCGTCAAACAGAAACCTGAACGTGACAAAGAAATGGAGGTTGGTGAGACAATTCCTGAGAACACGGAAAGCGTCACAGAATTAGAAAAACTATCCGAATCTATGCTGTCTAGGAAGCAGGGGCCTCTGGTTCAGTTTATGCTTACTCCGGCATGTGGTTTTGATCCAGAAACGGATTGGACCCAGTTTGCCATCGGAATGCACCATACTTTAGCGTTAACTGCCGCCGGTGAGTTAAACGCATTTAGCACAGTTTGATTATTACCAAGTCACCTAAATTAAATCCGTTTAGCTTTAAGAGCACTAATCTGCCCCTAGCCTGTGATTGCCGCGTATTCCAGAGTCCAATGGTCCACGCTATCTTAGGGTCAAAGAAGCATTACAGAAGACCGATCGACAAAAGCTTCACATTTCGGGAAGGGTAGCGTGCTAAAATTTACTTTTTACAGCTCTACGCTAAGATTTAACTTCCCACATCTTTAGACGTTAATGAACTGTTAGTATGCAACCACGAAAATGATACTGTTTGAATTACCAGGAATGCGCTGGTACGTAGCCTTGATTATTGTTTGTGTTTGCTTAAGGTCATCTACAGTGTACTATGGACATCTACTGCCCACTAACTAAAGCATTTACTTCAAAAGTATGTAGAAACTAATGTATTCTTGATATTTTAGGAGCTGTTTACGCAGTTGGTAGAAGTGACTACGGTCGCCTTGGAATCTCCTCTGATTCAGACATAGATGCCTCTGCAGTTTCTAGTCCAAAACTCGTCCAGGGAACTCTTTGTGGTCGGAAGTGCAGTTGGGTTGCATGTGGCGAGGCCTGCTCTTTCGCCATAGACGAACATGGTGAGCTTTGTTTATGTCTACTTACCTTGATCGGCGCTCTCGGGGAGAACTTTTGTATAACCGCTCAAATGACTGTCAGTGAAGTGTGGTCGACCCAATTTCCCCAATTGTTGCTGCATTAAAGTTTATCCTTTTCCAAGTAGTCCGTTTTTCTGCAAGATGTAAGTCAGTTCTTGTAAGATCTTGTTATTTTTTGAACCTTAAGGTCTAGTTCAATATTTTTTGTGCGATTGGCTTGCACTATAATTTCCACATTCTCGCATGTACGAAATTTGAATGACGGCCGTATCAGTGATTGTATCTAAGTATAACTCGTGGTTGCAACTTGGACCAGTTAATGAGCGCCAAATGCTTCCAATAGGGCCACTTTTGGATATGTGTAAACACCATGCGAATTAAACGCTGACCAATTCAGGGCAGAAATGTTCCTTCTTAATCAAGTGCAGATGCTGCCTTCTGGTTGCGTAGTTGTTGCCTTTTGATTGTTGTTTTAGTTCACGTAAATGATCCAGTAGAGGGAAGTCCATTAACGACCCCTTTGTATTGTATGTCGTCTTACAACTACAGTATAAATTTTTTTAAATTACCTTTCGGCGAAACATTTAAGTGCGAGTTTCATGGGTTTGCCCCTCCTTTAGATGTTCAGGTGTTTCAGTCAATGTTGAATACGACATCGGAAGGGGTACTAGGCACGAGTATGCATTACTTCCATAATTTCATCAATCTGTTAATTGACTGTATTTATATTCTTCTACACGTCGGTACAGGGAAGGCATTTTCCTGGGGCATGGGAAGCAACCAGCAGCTGGCCCATGAAGAAGAGTCTGAAGATGCTTTTGAGCCCGGAGAAATGGTTGGAAAAAATCTCTCTACTAGGTAGGTTAGATTGGGTACCCTTGACTAACCCCCTCTATTAAAATGAATTTCGGAAAAGTTTGCGTTTTTTTAAGGCGCATTGTCATGATCGATGCTGGTGGCCAGCATGTTGTTATGCTCGCACAAGACCCTTCACGCACCATGCCAGAGTCCAAAGAATCCGAACCAGGAGAAATGCAGGTTGATTCCGTGTCGACCGAGGTTAAGAAATACGAGACAAATGGCATTCATACTGGGGTGGCACCAATGGATACAAGCAGTACGAGTGCTCAGCAGGATGATGCATCTCCAAATAGTAAAGATCTCCCCGACAAACCTATCCTCGACACTCTCAATGCGCCTCAACCTCCTCCAGAGGTCGCCAGCACTGCTGGAGCTACTGTGAATAGCAGCTCTTTGCACAGCTGCTCATTGGTTGCCAGTGACCAGTCCTCTCTAAGCAGTGCTCATAGTACTGATGGCGGAGGGTCAAGCCGCCTGGGAAGTTCACTGTTCGCTCAGCCGGTAGACGCGCCGACGCTGCAAAAGGTCACATCTGCAACCACGGGCCCCAACTGTGGGGGCAGTACGACAAGTACCAGCGAACCCGGCTTTCCTTTAACTGATGGTGGTTCGATGACTGCTTCCCCCGCAGACACGCACTAAAACTACTCCTTTAATTCCCCTTTTATACCCTTATGATAATACAGATGCAATTTAACGGGCAGCGACGGATTCATCGTCTTTTTTCTTATATTCCCACTGTTCTCATGTAAACTATTTCAGAACATGTAGACATGGAGCATATTTGCCCAATCAAAACAGCCGGCAATACTTGATGTGCTTTCTCTTCTTCGCAGTCTCTGCCTTATAATCATTCCATACGCAAAATTGAAATCCATATTTGTATTTGGGATGCAGAAAATAAGTCGGGCGTAACGCCGCGTGATGTTATGGCCGCATGTCGGTTCCACAAATGTGGGTCACGAAGCAACTGCCAAATCCACCGAAATATTTGTGGAGTTTTTGGTGGTTTGATAAAGCAGGCAATGTGATTGTGGTTAATCCTAAATGGGTAAGAAAGCGGGCTTAAGCCGAAGTTGCCTCGTATTTCTTTACGTTTGCTCAGAGTAATCTGAGTTTTTTTGTGAGAGGGAAGGGCTTATCGGTAAACTATCTAGATCGGTATAGATAGTTTTTAGGGAGGCCAAGAGGTATTTGAATAGACATCGTCTGAGTGTGGTGCCGTTTATTGTTTTGTGGCGATGTAGACGTTTAAACGTCGCATTTGAAACTTCTCGCGAAGGACGTACGTATACTAGATCAGCTAATTGGTTTTTTGTGGAAGGAAAGCATAACAGAAAACGCGTCAGGTACTTGTACAACATCCGAGAAGATGAATTGGTTGGTTGGAGTTAGTGAACAAGTTCACCCGCCACACGGATTTACATCTAAGGGCACCTTATATTGAGATAGGAAGCGCGAAGTGTCCGTTATCACAAAGCCCTGACAATTTTCCCATTTTCGCCATCCATAACAGTCTTTGACATTGCGACAAAACAAAGTTACTTGTTTTGGCAGCCTATAGAACAATTAACCCATGAACACATATCCTCAGTAGACAACTACATTTTCGTTTGTAACTGCCAACTACGTATTTTTTCAAAGTTAACCACACCTATCCGATCACTTACCCGAAAAGCCACCTTTGGAGAATTAAACCTAATTAAAAAATTCCATCGTCCTGGATAATGTCACCTGTAGTAAGGTAAGGAGTGATGGAATCGGATTAAAAGTAATGATGCATACTGAAAAACTAATTGCAGACCAAATCATATTAGGATAATTCAGTTGAGTTAATCACCACGTATAAATAGAAGTCACTCGTATCTACCTAAGCACCTTTGATGTAGAATCATAAAGAAACTATGTCCTGCAACACGTTATTTGCAGAAATTTTCATACATGCATCCCTTTTCATAAGCAAATGCTAGCTTAGGCTATTAACGTTGTGTTTGGCGTCAACTTTAGCGTGAATAGGCTTGAATTTGACGGGAAGGTGGAAACAACTAGACTTATTTATGCAGTAACTTTATCACGATAAAAACAGGTAAGCTGGTGTCAATCAAGCAAATTAAAACGGGAGTCAGGCGAAATAATAGCTATTAGAGGAAAGGAGTAACGGCAGTCATTTTTCAGCAAGCGACAAATGTAAAACTTAAAAGAGCGAGCATCTTCTTTTGGTTTTAAATGGGTCATCTTTAGGTGCACTGATAAGTTGATCAGATTCTATGTGTTCAAAGCAATAGTTCTTAAGGTCGTTGATCACAACGCTCAATTTGAGACGTTTCATTGCCAAGCACGATTTCAGCATCAGGATTTCATTTTTCTTTCGCTCTATTTCGTCCTGTCGATTACCCAAACTGTTTAGGTCACCTGACTAAAAAAATGAAACACACAATTAACAAAAGACTACCTGACATAATCAATCAAAACAGTTTGCTATATAATAATGAAAATGATAGACGGCAAAAAGGATCAGTGCGTTTTGTTCTACATGGTGGTTCACTTAGTTCTGAAAACAACAAGATCACGTATACTTACCGAAATACTTTTGAGGTTGGTTGATATTAGAAAAATAACTGGTGAGATTAGCAGCCAGCGACAAAAAAAGAGAAAGAATTCCCCTCGGAGCACAACCAACCAAATTCGACTGTTACAGAATCAAGGAAATTTAAGTTTTTAACTTGGATTTTCTGACGCTATAAGGCATTTAGTGAATAACAAGCAAACTAATTCGCTCGATTTGTTTTGTTTTCAAATGAAAAGATACTAGTAAACAAAAACAGCCTATATTAACTTGCAATAAGGCATTTGTGACTTCCTGCAGTATATTAAAAAATAGGCACAGTAAATAAGAAAAATTAAGTATATTAGTTAGGGCAAATAAACTTGATAATTAGACGCACAATCATTGTTGGTACCGATGGCTCAACCCGAAGAGACGTACAAGGGCGCAGACATATAGGACGACGATGGCGTCAGCCAATCCTCTGTTTCTTTGTATTCCAATGGCATGGGAAGAAGGTAGACAGCCAACAAGAGAGAGACGCGCTAGATAAAAGGTTCATAACTAGCGGCGCAGCCAGCGTGACAATCTTGGATGAATGTGCGTGACGAACAAATATGCCGTGGTATTGGTCACCAAAGCCTGCTCTGTTGAAAGCGCATTCTACATACTAGGTCTCGGGTATTCTAGAAATCGTCTAGTTAACATTAAATTAAATAGCCACAGACATGACTGTGCTCGAACAGTCAGCAAATCGTCCGTCTCAGTATGATCAAACGACCTAGAAGTATGACAAGCTGTCGAGAAGAAACAGGGCTCAATAAGGAGAAAGAAACATTAGGGGTTAAATATAAAACGCACAACTCAGTTTGCAGAACTTAACTGACATTACTGGGCTGTAAAATGCAGTTAGGACCTTACCAATTCCACACAGAGTAATCCAACTAAAGAACGTTCAGTGCACAAAGACACAAGGGGTACAGAAATGCTAAAAAGCCATGCGCTGTTGAGAAATAACAAAAGCATAAAAAGTTGCATATTTAGTCCAGCCTTAAAACGAAAAATTCACGATCGTACCACGAATACATTCTATTCAACAGCCAAAAAATGGCAAAGTAAGTAGCAAAAACAAGTAAACCAGTGTTCAGGATTTGTCAAAGCCTCCTTCGCAGCCGCAAACATTGCGTGCCTCGACTGTAACATTCAGTTCCAGAAATTACTCCTAAGAAGACTAGTCAGAACCAGGTATATTTGTGCTGCGTTAGGAAGGAATCGCCAGTATTATTCACGCACACGAAATGTCTGAATTGAATCAGGAATTAATCGTCATCCGAGAATTGTAGAATAGTAATCACGTTTGGGAAAGACCCAAAGAAGAACTTACGGATCTAAGAGCGAACAAGACCCAAGCAACTTGCTTGCAACACTAAGAGGTTTCTGTGAGTCTTTGGAAGTAATGACATTTAGTGCCATAATTTCTAAGCAGCCGATTGTTAGACCACAGTCACCTGTAAATTAAGAGAGCATAATTGCAGATATGCGGCAATCAGTAATGCAGAGGTACTACAACCCAACGGAGATCATAGTGGTCTTTACAAAAAGTCAAACAATTCACAATGCTACCAAAAACCTAATGTTTGAGTATATTTGCGTTCACAGTAACTTATGCGGGATTGTGAATTAGAAAAACACAATGCCTCTAATAATTTGTCTTCGCTATTAAATGCTTAACAAATACAAGTGGAGCCATAAGAACTTCCATTCATCTGAAGGTTCCAGGAATAGTACAAGGGACAGTTTGGCTTGAAAAACCGTTGTTTCGAGTGTGGACGGCACCACGGCCAACGGAAAGGGCAATCATGACACCGAGGAACATTGATCGGGTGACGATACCCCTTATAGATTGTAAAAGTGACAATGCCTTTCATTCGCAGAATTTGTTTAACATATGGGTATGGGTTTAATTTAAATAGCGATACAAACTGCATTCCTAACAATTCCAGCTAACGCACTTCCTCAACCCCCCACGCAATAATAGCACAGTTCTCGTCACCTTATTGGTGCCATCAGCTAAATGTGCCAATCTTCGTCCAAATTTTCAAACATATCACACCATTGACATGTTACTAGGTAGTACTCCAGATGTTAGGTTCAGCGATATGGCAAAGTCATCATTGTAGGATTATCGTCAAGAGTGAGGTATTGTGATATGAATACTATAGATTTAATGCTGGCATCATCGGTGTAGGGAATGACCTCAACCAAGACACTGGACGACTGTATCATTCATCACATTCACCATAGTCACAAGACTCCAAAACGGAAGAACGCACTTGGTGGCGGGAGATTGAAGGAGGGTCGCAGTTGTGACCAAGACTTAAGGTCGGTAAGGCATTAGACGCATAATTGCTAATAAAATAGTTTGCTATTGTTAATACAAGTCTCGGTATTGCACGGAACCATTGGCTGTACTTGTTACACAACAAAAAGTCAGATTTCGGATTGTTTGTGCTAAGCCTATACTGTACAATTACTCATTGCCTTTTAATGCCGTCACTGTAAACATTGAGAATGGTGGTGAATATTTAAGTTAGAGAACCGCGATTTGATTTGATACCGACCACTAGTTTTGTCTGTTGGTGTTAGACGCGGTCTATTCAGTTCCGTATTTGTTCTATTTGCTGGTGGTTTTGTTCTAGCTTCGTTTTGCTCAACTTAGTATGGGTAATGATACATCCTTTCCAGAACTGTGCTCTACGTTTGACGTTGAGGAGATCAAGCGGTTAGGTAAACGCTTCAAGAAACTCGATCTTGATGGGTCTGGCTCTCTCAGTGTTGAAGAATTCATGAGTCTTCCCGAGCTACAGCAAAATCCCTTGGTTGCACGTGTTATTGAAATATTCGACACCGATGGAAACGGCGAAGTGGATTTCAAGGAATTCATAGAAGGAATGTCCCAGTTCAGTGTAAAAGGCAACAAGGAGGCCAAGCTTAATTTTGCGTTCAAAATTTATGATGTCGATAAAGATGGGTACATAAGCAATGGCGAACTATTTCAGGTAAAGTAAATAACTCATTTTGGTTAAATGCGTGTGTGTGTGTGTGCGTACGGTATGTCTTAGTACTCTTACTTCCCGAGAGATTGCTGAAAAGCATTGCGACATGCTTTGCACGCCCTTCCTAAGCAGTCAAAAAACAGGCATTTGAGCTACGACGTTATTCGCATTTTTTAACTGATATTTCGCTGGGTTAGGAATCCTAATTTGTTTTGGACGAAGCAATTGGCTTATATTGTATGGCATGGACGCACCTTTTTCTCTTAAGTTGTTTATTTTATTGGCCGTACAATTGGGCATAGGGCAGTGACGGTGTTAAGCTGTGTATATTTTTCACGACCAGATGGATGTTGTACCGACGGCGTGCGTAGGGTATGTTGTGTGATAAAGTCATTTAGAATCGGTTTAATCACGACGTATCTGATGGTTCCTCTTAGGTTCTGAAGATGATGGTGGGCAATAACTTGAAGGATGCACAATTACAGCAGATTGTTGATAAAACCATAATGTTTGCTGATCAAGACGGAGATGGTCGCATTTCATTCGAGGAGTTTTGTCAAGTTGTGAGTGGACTAGACGTGCACAAGAAAATGGTGGTTGATGTGTAGATGGTACACATGTAAAGTCTCGACGCCGAAACCATATTAGCCCTGTCTACCCATGGTCCACCTTCCCAGCTAATAGTCCCAAGTCATCTGCTTTTTCTTCGCGAACTCGACCAACTGACACCAACGCATTTCGGTGTTGACCTACTAAATGCGTGGCAAGCTATGGAATTTGACAACCAATCATCGCAACCTACCAATCATCATCCAAACTCCCCTTGTGTCTATCGTCGTTTGTGGTGTTATCGGCTTCAACATACTAGTCGCCCAGTCATAACTTTACCCGACCTGCATGCTAATATTTGTGTGCACATCTTGATCTTTTATTATGTAATTGAGAACTTCCCTGCAAAACTGCTAATGGGTCGATGATATACTTTCCTGCGCATGTATACAAAACGACTGGCAGAGTTTTGTTGCCTTCGAGGATCGCATTTGCCTAGGGCCCATCAACCCAGACCCTTCCTATTTTTACTTATGTCTTCCCGAATATACTAGCTCCTCCTGAGCCAACACTTGACCAGAATACTTTGCGTATACTTGCATTGGTGTGTGAATTCTCCTAACATATCTTCAGCCGCTCTTGTTCCTTCTTGCGATTATCGAACGTATAATGCTAATCTGCTCTGTGAGACATTGCAGACGATATTTTTTTAATATTACTGGCGTGACACGAGTTTGCTTTTCTCATTTGTCTCTTCATATTCCATTGTTTTTCTCGAGTTGTATTGTTTGAGTTTGAACGGAGACCTTGCTTATCGACGCATTATTGTTCTTTTGTAATTGATTTAACTGCGGTCTTCAGTCGTGAGTATCTTATTTATTTCGATAAACAGCGTATACTAAATGTGCTTAAGCTTCTTTTATTGATTGTAAAAGGGGAACTACTAATGTTGATCGCCCTATGGGTGGTAGTTAGCTAGGCCGAATACTTGGTGTTGGGATTGTGATAAATTAATGGTGTGAGTGGAGGAAGTGGAGTTAGTTGGATGCACTTTGAGACAACCTAGCTATGACACCGCCTCACACCCATGTGTTCGGTCTTGTATGTGCAATACTCCTTGTCACTTGCAGTAAATGCAGCTGGCGGTGTTAAGTGTACTACGGATCTAAGTGGTCTGATGAAGTTGGGCGCCTGTGGTTCACGGTAAGTCAGCATCTCTGAGCTAGGTAGTAGTTATGTGTCATGTGTAGTCACGTCTCGAGTCTGTGAATTCGTATGCAGTTGGGCAATTGTCAACTTTCAAAGACCAGGTTGAGTTCAGAAGAAGGGGAGGGCCCGGAGGTGGTGTCGCTTATTTACCTTTCAGTAGTGTGTTATGCATACATTAAGAGAAGTGAAGGTGTCTTGTTTACTTCCCACGTGCACCATGGCCATTTCGGTAATTATAAGTCTATGAATGGTGATTTTAGAGGTTGTTCGAGTCCTCCAGGCCTCACAACATCCCCATACAGCGACACTGACGGCGGCGTTTGTGTTAGGTCATTTAAATAACCAACTGCAAGTTCGGCCAGTGTGGAAGCTATTGTGTCGCCCTAAAAGTACGTTGCTAGGCGGCTTTGGTTGTGCCCTCAATTATCATCCTTTCGTCTATGCCACTCAAGTAGTAATTACGTGATTACGTGCTAGGAAGTTATTAGCTGTGTTTTTTGTCTGTGGTTCGACGCGTTTTTGACATTTTAAATGGTTGCAATAAAGATCCCTTGTGTTTTATCAATAGTGAATGTTTGATTTAGGTAATGTACTTTGTTTGTCAAAGCACTGTAGCACCAAGGTCTTGACTAGTGGCCGATGTCTGGTTGCGCCTCGGTGTCGACGTAAGTCAGCTTAACGCGATTGATAGATACTGAGCCTTCCCGTCGTCACTCTCGACGATAGTCATTTTCTTAGCTTGAGTGCCCTGAGAGTTCCATCGGAGTCTGTTAAATTGGTCAGCGTTTCACGTCACATCACACACATGCGTTTGTACAGGAGGCTTCGTGTGATTGAAACGCGGGAAGTTGTAACATATAGGCGCGGTTGAATGGGTGTTACCATGCGCATCGTCTCACGTAAGAGATAGAAGTAGGTACGTCGTTCTGGGCATGAGACATGAGACTCAGTATATGACGGCCACAGTAAAATCCAGCCATGACTCTAAAACCGTTCCTACCTAGGTACAGCCTAAGTCTCTTTTAACTAACGACATAATTTCGAGTTGAACAGAAGGCAATATTGCAATTACTCCTGTTGGTATCAGCACATACAGTAATAATTGAAGAGTCAACTTCAGTCCCCAGTTCCTTGACTTAAGTATTATAACTTTTTCTCTTTATTAAATTGCCGTCTACCTTTTTAGCATTCGTTCCAATTATACGCATAACTGAACCGCCTCTATGGTAGTCAAATGTATGCTCAAAAAGATCTCCTTGCCTCTTCAACTACGTCAACTATCGTGGGCAACATGAAAAAGAGATGGATCCGGGCAAATTTACTGTCATGCGATAGTCCTTCGTAGTTTGCATTAAGCCAGCGGTAGTACATTCACGAAATTCTATAAAAACTGCTCGATCGTTGCCTGGAAAACACAGTTAATGGAACAAAGACGCAATTCAAGCTAAAATAGCGAATTTTAACCATTGGAACCCTAATGGAATCCAATCAACTAAGTTCCTAAAAACAGTTCCTGATAAGTGTTGCTCATTTACCAAGTGGTCGCTGAATGCAAAAGCTCAATCTACGACCATTCATAATTTATATGTTTTGCTGAGTGACAAAGAAGGTCACCTGGAAGATACCAAACGTTGATGACTCTCCTGCCCAGGGCTTCTTAAGTTAAATCATTTCTTCGATATTCGTTCATTACTTTCGTGTGCATCTTCAACTGTTCATCAAGGCGGTGAGAACACCTGCTGAGGTGGTTGAGACTCTGGACAGCATAATCGTTTTATTCCACAGACTTTTGGATTAAAATTTTTAAGTCAGCGACAACTTAGACGGATTCTTTTGATTGGACAGAATAAAATATTGTATAAGTGATTATGAGGATATCCATCGGAAGCTTACAATCATTAACTGCTGCTTTGTGTAAGAGAAACTTTTTGGTGCATCATCTCCAAGTCCGTTTTAACTCTTTAAATCCTGTGTGGTAGATACCTTCATTTATCAGTTATCTGAAGAAAACTATCCTACCATTTTCCGTCCTACAATGTTTTGGATCACATAAGTCACCTCCGTTTCTCTTAACCCTTTTCCTGGACCCCGTAAACTTCAGATGCACAGTATTCTATCAAGTGGTCCACTCATAAGTTACTTTGAGGCTCTAACTTGATCTTGCTATAATGGCGTCACTGTGATATCAGGCAGTCGTTGAGCATTAATTTGCCTCTATCAATGAACGAACCGCGGTGTTTCATCTGATGTGGTTTAATAACCTTCTTACTGTCCAACTCCACGCCTAATTCCACTTATATGAAATGCAATGCAGGGTGTATTTTCAGAACGCTGAAGTGAATGCTTTTTTCTTTCCTTCCACCTCAGGATCTGTTATTAAAATTTCGCCAATAAACTCTAATTCCAAACCAACGTCAGAAGAATCAGAGTCCGAGATGATTGGTTACCACATTTGACTGTTATTGGGCTTACCACGAGGGCCACGCTTGTAATAAAAGGTGTGCTAATGTTTAGTGTTTTCCGCAACATCTATCGGTAGTTTAACAACGAACTCGAAGTCCATGATGGCTTGAATTGCCTTCGAGCAGATCACGTTGATCCAAGGCAAAATTGAGCTGCGTTAACATTTTGTCACCTGTCGCTTAATAACCCAAAAATGAGCTTGATTGATGACTTGCACGCCTGCTGTTGGAATAAACATCTGATTTACTAAACTGGGGACGTGAAAAATCTAAATGAAGTACGTCGATCTCCTACAAGGTTTTCCACTCTGTTAGCCACCGTAGCCTACCCAAACTGCAACTAAGTTGTTTACTGATTGTTCTTGATTGACGGTATTTTGGATAATGAGAGTGTGTTGTGGGCCCCAGCATGTGGTCCTGAACCACGCCGGGGCCACGGAATTAACCCTGGCCCGATTACGATTGCCTGATGCCCGCGATGAAGAAGAAGACCGAAGAGGACGGGACACAACCGTTTACTTCAGAGCTCAACCAGAATTGGTGTCGCTGTGTCGAGTGTGGGATTTGCGCGTGAGTATTTATAGATCAGATGTGTGAGTCATACATGCGCTAACATCGAGACCTAGGTGTGAGGTTAATCCAAGATACATATACGTGTGAATGAAGGAGGAGTTGGGGATTTGCGCGGCTGTCGCCATGCTGCGAGAAGGGGAGCCTTGTATCGGAGGCGAAGCGATCGGATTAAAATGTTGAATAAACCCGATTCACAACAAGTGATTTCGTGTCATTAAAATTCATAGTTTCATTTGCTAAATTTAATATACTTAAAAAGTACTAGATAAACACGAAGCCTGTGCACGTCTGTAGTGAATCCCCTAGTCAAATCTAAAAAGCTTGACTTTAGTGTCCAAGCTTTGAGTTACGCCCTAGATAAACGTTTGCGATTGTCTTGAGGTTGAAAGATATATGGCAATTCATACGGAAACGCAGCGGAAATTTCAACCAGATATTCCCTTTAAAATTCACAGATGTATTAAATTTCTGCGTTTTGATTTGCAGTACAATAACTTTGCAGGGAACTCTGTTTAGTTAGTAATGCACTAGCAATTTACAAGACACAGTGCCAGTATGGGCTGCTCACCAGAGTTTACAGTAAAAATTGCAAATTAAAAAGGGTTTTGTCACTCACAGCACAACAAAAAGAGCACATTATCAGTAATTTACTAAATATATTAATGATTAAAAAGAGTGAGACTTGAAGCACTGGTGGGAGGATTTCGAGGCATAGATTCAGTGTAATTTTATATTTAAACGAAAAACGCAAAAAAGCATAAATGAGTAAATCCTCAATTGTAATTAACTTGAAACATTTTATTGCTACATATCCT